GACAACTTCTTTTTTTATATTTTTTTCTACACTGAAAACTTTTTAGCAAGAGATAATTGTTCTGCATTCGCCGATGTTTGCCTGAAAAGACAAGAATAATACATGCACACACATCGTCCTCATCATCATCATGACAAGTCTATATCGCCTTTGTTTTAAAGAAGATAAAAATGTTGTGCAATCTAGACATACTTATTAGCTTAACTTTGTTTTACTTACGTCCTCCCTTTTGTTGGTCTCTCTATGACTATAATTCTTTTAGTGAACTCCTGCGGTTCTTCCTCATGCTCCAGCAACCCTGAGGTTGCTAAATTACTGGTGCTCAATTCCCAGATTGTGCTACAGAGAGAACAGAACAGCACTAGGCATCAGGAACCAGGCACAACTTGGAGGGATGGAAATGAAACCAGCAAAACCTTTGTTGCTTTGAGTCGCACCTTCCAACTAAAAACTAACTAGCAAAAGTTAAAAGAAGGAAAAGAATGATTGCTTGCCTTTTCATTCTTAAACATAATCTTTCATCAAGGACCCTCAGTTTTGATTCACTGTGTCCTGGCCAGGGCTTCAAACTGGTTATTCGTGGTTCAGTCACGGCCAAGGAAGCGAAACCAGAACAGACCCGAATTTTTAAAATTTGAGTGAACAGGAATGATAACCAGAACAGGAAAAATTATGAGTCTAAGCCGTGCTAGAAACCTAATCTTTTTCTTAGAAAACAAGGGCAGCACACACATTGCATAGCAACCAAATCTCTTTCCCTTTGGATTTTGAGCAGAATAGGAAACAGTGGTGCCCCGCTCAAAGATAGTGGCCTACTGTGCCTCTTTGAATGTGTGTCGCTCCCCACAGTCCTGCCAATTATCCAGTCTCATACACCAGGCTCCTAAAAGGGTTCACTATACCTCTTCCGAGTCTCCCATTCCAGGGCTTAGACCCATAATTTGTCCCATTCCGATTATCATTCTGGATCACCCAAATTGTAAAAATTCTGGTCTATTCTGGTTTCAATTCATTGGCATGACTGAACCAGTTCGAACTGATTTGAAGCACTGGTCCTCGCCTCACCCTACTAACCAAATGATTAGTCTTTTTGTTTTGTGTTATTTTTTCTTTATTTAAAAATGGAATCCTTAGGAGTGAGCTCCTGAGGTCTTTTATCTTCTTAAACATCTAACAGTGCAGTGTACTTCTTGAAGAATATGACTCTGTAGGACTTTCGGATCTGCAAACAGGAGTGGCTTCTCACTCTGGCCAGCCCAGACCTTGATTCTTTTCTTAACATCATGCAGATTACAGGAGCCCAATAAACAGCTGTATATGGACAGGGAACTGCCAGAAATTCAAGTCGGATTCAGAAGAGGATGCAGAACCAGGGATATCATAGCTGATGTCAGATGAATCCTGGCTGAAAGCAGAGAATACCAGAAAGATGTTTACTTGTGTTTTGTTGACTATGCAAGGCATTCAACTATGTGGATCTTAAATTATGGATAACATTGTGAAGAATGGGGATTCCAGAACACTTAACTGTGCTCATGAAGAACCCATATGTAGACCAAGAGGCAATCATTCAAACAGAACAAGGAGACACTGTGTGGTTTAAAGTCAGGAAAGGTGTGCATCAGGGTTGTATCCTTTCAGTATACCTATTCAATCTGTATGCTGAGCAAATAGTCCGAGAAGCTGTACTATATGAAGAAGAACGGGACATCAGGATTGGAGGAAGACTCATTAACAACCTTTTTTATGCAGATGACACAACCTTGCTTGCTGAAAGTGAAGAGGACTTGAAGCACTTACTGGTGAAGATTAAAGACTACAGCTTTCAGTATGGATTACACCTGACCATAAAGAAAACAGAAGTCCTCACAAGTGGACCAATAAGCAACATCATGATAAATGGAGAAAAGATTACTTGGATCCACAATCAACACCCATGGAAGCAGCAGTCACGAAATCAAAAGACGCATTACGTTGGGCAAATCTGCTGCAAAAGACCTCTTTAAAAGTGTGAAAAAGCAAAGATATCACCCTGAAGACTATGGTGCACCCAACCCAAGCAATGATGTTTTCAATCACTTCATATGCATGCAAAAGCTAGACGATGAATAAGGAAGACCAAAGAAGAACTGACGCCTTTGAATTGTG